ACAAAATGGTTACCTGCCGGCCGCGGCGGCGCCGCCCTCCCCGCGCCGCGGGTGGAGGCCGCTGTTCCCGGCGGGCAGGCCCAGGGCCGCAGGTGAAGAGTGGGTCGCAGCGGCCTTCGGCCGGGGGTGCTGCCCTCTCCGCTCAGTAACCCGAGTGGTGCGTGGGGCCGGCGAAGCTGCGGTGCGTTAGGTAGATAGCACTAGGTCTGCTGGCCAACAGCAAAACGCTGAGCTGCAATGAGGTTGAACTTGGACGCGATGTTTGAGACTTGTATTAGGTGCTTTGTATTAGGTTCTGAGCGAGATTTTATGGTTTGTTTGGTTTTTTTTTTGCAAGTGCTAGTTGCTTATCACATCCAAATGAGTTCAGCTGTGGGAAGTCAGCATGGTGACTGTTAAGAGATTATGTACTTGGGACTGAACCTGGGATGGCCATGTCTGAGTACTTACCCACAGTACCCAAAAACACCACAACAATGTAATCATACAGCCTCTGTCACTATACATCCGTAGTATGTTTAGCTTGTCAAAACCCCTAGCTAAGATGGGAAAGGAACAGTAGGCAGAGACAAGATCAGGTGTGAGCAGCACGGACTCACGTAGCAGGGAGATGTAGTTACAGGTAGCATTTATGGCAAAATAGTGATAGCGCTGTTGTTTGCCTTGCCACTGACCTTGGGGAATTCTAGCAGCTGTAACTTAATGTTTCCTGCTATAAAATGTACAGTGTCCTTTGCAGCGGTTGTAGCGTCTTCAGTGGTTGTGTAAAAGTGACGCAAAAGAACAAATTCCTTATTCATGTAGTTTATTACAATAGAAAAAATGGTGATTATTGGATTTTCTCATAATATGGGGCTTTCTGCACGTTCTGGCCAGCAAGTTCAAAGGAAGAGCCTTCCGATGACTTGCAGGTGATCTTCCCAAGGACCAAAATATGGCTCCTTATGCTTGTGTAACTACTGCATTCTTGCAAATCACTTCACATATCCAGTGAGGGATCATGTCACAGTCATTAACTTGTTTCATAAGGGTTTCTGTCTTTAAAAAATGCTGTACTTGTTTTCTAAGCTTTGTGCAGTAAAGGACACCAATTTTCCTACTTTCAGTGACATATTGTTCTAAACAACATATTAAGGGATTCCCATTAAAATGGGAAGCTTTGTTGTTACCTTTTGTGGCAGAAGGAATAGCACTGGAGGAGTGATTACAGCTTGCTGGTAGAGTCTTCCTACTGGAGCTCAGCCACATTGCTATAACGCTTAGGATCCTAAAGGTTAGTGTTTGTGCCTTCCCTGGAGTTGTTTTATGGGGATGATGTGGAATTCTGCTGAGCACATTTACATGGTATTTAGGGTTTTGTTTGGAGGGGTCAGTGCTGGGGTTTTTCTGTTGTTGCAGCTGTATTTCTGCATGCTTGAGGAGAGAGCCTTTCAGAACGTTGCAGCAAGCAAGCTGAGGTGTGAATCTGACCCTTCCCTTAGTGTAATGCCTTACATGTATGGCATGTGATCAGCTAGGGTTGCTTTGGTTTTTGTTTTTTTTTTTCCTTCCTGTGCAAGGTACAGATACACAAACAATGAAAAAGCTCAAGCTGTGGCCAAAACATATCACAGCTTACAGCTTTTGATTGTTAAACCAGATTTTTAAAAGTTTCAAGACTGTGACTAGCAGCCATTGCCTTAAAAAAGAGTCCCTTCTGTTTTCAGTGCATGCATCTCAAGGGTCTGTTGGTAATCACATTTTCAGAATGCATTTTTCTTCCTTCTTCTGCAAAATAGAATCCTCCCTTACAACAGTAATAATTAACACCCAATGGTAACTTATCCATGTCATTGCTCATTGTAAAAATATGTGGTGTATAAGTGCTGTGGCAAAAACGCAGAAGGTTGTGTTTGTCTGTTAGCTGTGGGAGTGCCCCTTAATGTCACTGGGGTTTTTCCTTCCTTACCATATAAGGAGAGAAGTCCTGCTCTGCCGTAGAATAACTTGGGCCATATAAGGCTGGTTGGTAAACCCTTATTGAGTTACTGGAGCAGGAAGTAAAAGCTTGAACTTTAGTCACCCTGTGTTTTCCAGGCATATTGTATGCTCTTATCATGATGAGGAGTCTTGACCTGATAATGATTAACTTGTAACATTACAAATTTCCCAAGGGTAACATTTATAAAAGGTGGTTTTCTTTCTCAAATCAGAATGATCAACTTCTTACTCTTTAAAGCCAGAAATCTGAAAATACAGGTTTGGAGTACTACTGCTTGATTATGTAGCTAAAGCTTTTATATTTGGGTTAATGTGGATCTCTAAGGATGAAGTCTCTTCTCCTGGTACATGTTCGCTGCCAACACTCATTAATGTTCAAATATATATTTGTTCCCCTGTTTGTGTGTTACATCCAGTCATTCTAGTGGGACAATGTTACTGTTACATCAAAGGTTGTTTTACTTGTTTGGTGTGTAAGTTATTCTTACTTGTGTTATGTACAACAAAATTTTAGCTGTGGCCAACTGTATCCAGCTGCCCCTGGTTAGTAAAAGCAACAAATAACAGTTCCTTAAACTTTTAATTAAAGAAAAAGTACCCAACTGGTACTTCTGGTATATACTTTTGATAGGGGGTTGGTTTCCCGCTTCCCCCCGCCCCTGACATCATAGGAAATTCAATGTGTACTTCCTCATGTATAGCAAGATCGTTTTCAGTACTAATTAAGAGTAACTGTTATTCTTGGAAGCAATTAACTTTTTAGAATAATGACCTTTTTATGTATATTTTGTGCTTAATATCCTTTTGAAAGAAATAAAGTTTAATAATGAGGTTACTATGAGAAGGCTGTTATGGAACTTACTCTGCAACTTAAGCAAGCGTAGGTTTGAGAATGTCAGAAGTAAAAGCTTGTAATGATAAGAGGCAGATGAGTTGCAAGTGTTACACAGAAGATTAAGTGAACAGGTAATGCAAGTGAGGCAGATCTCGGGGAAGTTTGAGGATGGTGGTATGGGGGGGGGGATATTTTAAGCGATTGTTGCCTGTACTAGGGCCCTTCTGACATGTAGCCTCTGCTGGTGCCTTCTTTGTCAGCTCTTGCATAGCTTGTCTGTAAACAGAACTTGTGAGTATTCAGGTGTTTCTTAAATGTTCTCATGCTCTCTCTGTGTCAGCTGTCTTATTGCAAATGCTGATCTAGGTGTATTTTTGCATGTTTACGCTGAACCTTTCTTATGGAACTCAAGGAAATACTGGGACAATTCTTATCAAAATGTGGCAAAAGGTCATAAAGAAATGATTTGGGATAACGGAAGAATTGGGTAATTAGTTTGTGTTGATTTGATTAAAAAAAAAAGGGGGGGGGGAGAGACTATAACTGGTTAATGTCCGCAAATACAATAACAGAAAATATTTGGGGAATGGTGCATAATTCTTCCAGGGCAGTTCTTTCTAGTACAAATTGTGCAGTCCTTAATGGGCTTCCTTTAAAGGAAGCATTAATCACTTTCCTCTGTAAGCAATAACTTCACTATTCAATGAGGACATGTACATCTCTGTGTATGGGCTTTTTAGTGGATGAAGTCAGAAATTACTGAAGTGCTGTTAAATGGCACTAGCAGGTGTGCGCGATAATCTTTTACAAGAGGTGATGTGTGCCTTATTATGAGTTAATTTCTGTTTTTCCTGTGCTTAGGCTGAGAGCGAAGTAGCTTCTCTGAACAGACGCATCCAGCTGGTTGAAGAAGAGTTGGATCGGGCTCAGGAGCGCTTGGCTACTGCTCTGCAGAAGCTGGAGGAGGCCGAGAAGGCCGCAGATGAGAGTGAAAGGTGGGTGGGGCCACTCTCAAATGGATCATTACCCTTATGACAAAGATGATAATTGCCAGGGTGTGGGTTAGGGAAATAAATTAAGCCACTCCTATGTCTCTGAACACGTGTAATCTACTCTTCCTTTGCCTACATGGACTTCAGTTACAGCTTGTCTGTAGGGATGTCCAAAATGTGTAGGCTTGAATTCTTTTTCATGTCTCAGTTGTAAAGATAAGATTTAAGTAGGGTAGGGCTTTTGATGTATCATGCCACATCCTTGGAAAACTGCTTGGCCCAGCCCAGACTTCTCTATTTGGATTACAACTTTTTGAGGGTGATGTGTACTCTTGTGCTGTCAGGTGATTCTTGATTTCACTGTGGGTAGAAAATCTCACCTGGAGAATAGCAAAGTGCTGGAAGAGGCTTTGATTCTCCAGTTGGCGAGATTGTTATACGAAGGTGAGCAAAGGAGAGAGAGCAGGATAATTCCTTTAGATTTAGGCTGTGGTTTCTAGAAGTACTTAATATAAGCTAGGAGCTCAAGATTTGTGGCTTTGGAAGGTTTTCTCTTTTACTTCTACAAGTTGTATTTTATATCTGTGATAATACCTTTTATTGGGAAAAAATCCAGTGTATTCTGCGTATGTATTTCTACCTCACTGATGATGCAGCCTGTTGAAAAGTGCCTGAGACTCACAGTGCATTGTGAAATAGTTAAGAGAATTTGGGTCAAACATGCATGGAAGGGGCAATACACAATGTTTCCTGTTATGAAGGAGTTAAATGTTGCTTATGCAGAGCACAGAGAGCTTCAGTTCTTTAGGGCTCTGACATGGCAAAACTCATGGGAATCTGTTCAGCCCGTAAACATAATGCCTGTCAGTCCTGCAGGGGTTGTAATGTGCTGTTTCACAATGAGTGTAAAAGCACAGATGTCTTTAGTCATCTTATTTGGTCTTTAGAAGCAAGACCCTTTATTTACCTTTCCATAAGATCAGTTTTCCTTCAACTTAAAATGAAAAAGAATAGTGCAGCTGAACTGTGATAAGAGCTAAACAAATTAAATTTTCTTTCTTCCTAAGACATGCTTCTTTTCTTTGAACTTCTGAAGTGTGAATACACAGGACTAGATCTACGATGTGAAGAATCAAGTATCTGACATGCTTCGTTCATCTTAATACCCCTGTCTGAAGGTTGCACTCCAGTAGCAGTAGAGCTGGAGATAAACTGGCAAGCCCTGAACCTTGCATTTCCTGTTTTTCACGTCTTTCAGAGGAATGAAGGTCATTGAAAATAGAGCCCAGAAGGATGAAGAGAAGATGGAAATCCAAGAGATCCAGCTTAAAGAAGCTAAGCACATTGCTGAGGAGGCTGACCGCAAGTATGAAGAGGTCAGTTCTTGAGTGCAGGTCATCTGTTTCCAAAGCCCTTTAGGCTGTGCCTGTAATTCTTTGGGTTTTTTTCCCTTTGCCTTTTAAGTTCAAAAGATCACAAACACTGCTCTTTGCGGCTGTGGAAGGAAAAATGGGCACCCGAATACCTCAGGGGACAAGGTGGCAGGAGATCTGCGCTCAGATCTTTACACTAAAATGGTTGCGAGTAATCCCTGGTCTCTTAGAGAGAAAAATATTTTTAAGTTGCCTTTGGGTGAATGAAAGAGAGGTCTTGAAAAATGTCAGATAACAAAGACTCAAATGAATAATGAAGATGTCACATAATCAAAACTCACATGTTGACCAAAAAATGGAAAGAGGACCAACTCCCTGCTTTGTACGTTCTAGAAACAGGTGACGTGTGCTGCAGCAACGTAATATCCCTGACTGTCATCTGCCTTTTCTTGTAGGTGGCTCGTAAGCTTGTGATCATTGAGAGTGACCTGGAGCGGGCTGAGGAACGTGCTGAACTCTCAGAAAGGTAAGTGTCGAACTGCTCCGAGATGTGTGTGAGGTGTGCTACAAGACAACTGTAACAGCATGAAACATTGGCAGTACACTGTGTGTTCAGCTCAAAGCTATGTTTTGCTCATTTACTCTAATGGTTGAAATAAATGGTCAATGCCAAAGTAAATATGTTCATATGTGTGTGCGCGTGTGTTTTGTCACTGCATGCTGTACCTGCACACTGATTTTGTGAATGGCTTTTGTGCATTTCATGTGTTCACTAACAGCCAAGTCCGACAGCTGGAAGAACAGTTAAGAATAATGGATCAAACCTTGAAAGCATTAATGGCTGCAGAGGATAAGGTACTGATACTAATAAACAGTTTTTAGGTTTAACTGCAACCCAAGTCTTTCAGCTTCCATAGCCGGTTAGCTCACTCAGTAGTAACAAATAAGTCCTCACTATGCTCTTTACTCTCTTTGCATCTTGCTTTGGTGGTTTTCTTTGGTCTCTTTTTTGTTTATTTATTCATTTTTACCTTTAAAACTGATCTCTTGTGCAGCCAAAAAGAAGCTGAACTGTCTCACGTGTAAAGGCTATGTAAATATTTTTGTGTACACCAAGGGCTGTAGATAGTTTCTGCCTGGTCGTCGTCTTAATGTACACTTGAAATGGAATTTGGCATCGTGAAGAGTTGCTTTCAATCTGTGATGGATTCAGCTGCTTTTGAGGCCGTTCTTTTGCTCTGTAATTATTTTCATTTTTCTCTATCTTTTCCCCCTGTTTTCTCCTGTTTCTTTTGCTTGACTGAATCTTCCATCCGCCCCTTTCCTGCCTTCCTTCCGAAATAACAGCAAATGTGCTGAGCTTGAAGAGGAGTTGAAAACTGTGACCAACAACCTGAAGTCACTGGAGGCTCAGGCTGAGAAGGTAGGCTAGAGACTTATGTGAGAAAGTGTCCCTTACGTTGTCATCTGGATTGGTCTGTGGGGTTTTCTTTACATGCTGATCACTTTGCAGCATTTCAGCAAGGCCATTGACCTTACTACTCAATTCTTATTTGGCTCTCATCGGAACCTAGCATTCCTTCTAATTCCAAATAGGTCAGTACTATTTGACCACATGTTCTGTTAAGTAGTCTGACAGGATCAAATATTACTTATGGAATGTCCCTCAAAGTGGCACTTGTGTGCTACCATGAAATTTCTCCAAATGCCGCTCCTCTTTAAAACTGTAGTACTCATTTCTACTCAAAGTTCCTACCATATAGCACTGCAATATAACTCAAAGGAAGTTTGGCTCTTGTAATAAACTGTGGATGAAGTGGAACTAGTTTAGTTATACCTACGTTTCTTGTATACAGTTGATCTATTAGAAGAGAGTCTCAAATGTGTTATTTTTTGGTATATATAGAATACCTGGTCTAATATCAATGATCCTCTTTCTAATTACAGTACTCGCAGAAAGAAGACAAATATGAAGAGGAGATTAAAGTCCTGACTGACAAACTGAAGGAGGTAAAATTAGAGCCGTTCTTTATAACGGATCTTCCAATGCAACTTTGATTCTTTTAGTATAAACACTACTTTGATGCTTTAAGGATGAACACGTCATTTTGGAGACAGTTTAGTGTTAAATGTTTCTCCTAAAAATGAGTATCACCTTATTATTTGCTTCCTCTCATTATACTTTTTTCCTCATTTGAATTGTTGCTCCTCCATTCGTAAGTACAATGCCTGCATTTCCTAAAGTAGTCTGTATTTGTTTTGACTTCAGGCTGAGACCCGTGCTGAATTTGCTGAGAGGTCAGTAACCAAGCTGGAGAAGAGCATTGATGACCTAGAAGGTATGGGGTTTTGTTTTTTTTCACTTACTATAGAAATACATTATTCTCCCGTTGGTTTTTTTTTTTTTCAGTACCCAATTCTACTCACCTAACTTGTCCTGTTTATATAAATGGGTCTGCCTAAAGAGTAAAATAGGCAAAATGTTTTCCGATTGAAATGTATTGATAAGTTAAATGCTTCAGGCGAACAGTGTTTTGCTCTTGCCTGTTCCTTTTTCTCTCATGTTCTCAAGACTCCTTTCATTTTTTTGCTTTATACTCTTCCTACTTGGAGGTATATAAATGTATAGGGTAAATGATTAGATGATAAGTATCATTATTATTATCTTACTAAAAAGCTGATAAAGAGCTGTGTTATGTTTGTAATAATTAGGAATGTAGCAAGCTAACCTAATTTATTACTGTGATAAGCGTGGGTCAGGATAGGCATTTTGTGACATAGACCAGTTGCTGTTTTTCGGTAAGGCTAATGGATTGTATACATAATCAGAAGGACAGCTTGTTTAACTTCAGAGAGCTTGTTTTAAGGTTTTGATAAATCTTTCAGAACTGCAGTAGAATAGTAGAATGTGCTTTCTCCCTCCGGAGAAAATAATTCAATAGTGCTTTGTAATTAGAAGTTATATGGAGTTTACTATTTAGACGCGTTACACAAAGTCTAGGATTTTAAGGCGCTTGATTGCTTGGCATAGCAAGCTAACTTCTGCATAAAGGGTATGAAATACCTAGGTAGCTGCTGAAAATTTTTGATCACTGACTCAGGAAGGAAGCAGAGAAGAAAGATAAGTGTTTAGAAGGAACAGAAACTGAGTTTACAACATCACACAAACCAGAGTGGCTTTAAAAAAAAAAAAAAAGTGTTAGAAAATAAATGGTAGCATCCTTCTTGAGCCCCATTTCTGGATCTTTTCTCCCTAGCTCCTGTGTGCCCTCCCTAATGTGTGTTAGAACAAAAATCCAGGGCAGCAAAACATGGATTTTGCTAC